ACACAAAAGTCCCCAGTTGCTTCAAGATTTGACTTCTTAGCCTCTTGGCTTTTTCTGCTCTGTTATATGCTAGTGACCTTTTCTCACTTTTTTAGAAGATCTATCTCAATAAGACATTCTAATGTATATAAGTTTTTGTTTTCCTTTTGTCTTGTGTATTGGTTCTAGTTGTCTTTTGGGGGTAGTTGGGGCACAGAAACGGATGGGACAAAGGGTGAACAGCTGCAGCAGTGATACTCACTAGTCACTATGTTGAAAATGAACTCTACAACTTTGGTCAGAAGGGAAAACCTGGGAGAGAGTGAGGGAAGGGGTGATATGGTTCAAGAAGAAATGTACTGTTTATCTAACTTATGTAACTGTAACCCCTCTGACCATTACCTTTACAGTAACAATTAAAAATCCTCTTTTTTGTTCTTAATATATATATATATATATTTATTTATTGTAAAGATACTGTACAGAGGGGTTACAATTACATGGGCAAGATAATGAGTCTATTTCCTATCAAGCATAATTACATCCTCGTTTATTTTTCCCCTACGGTCTCTTTCCTTCCCACCTCCCCAACTGCTCCCTCCCCTCCCCCGCCCCCAAAGTTGTAAAGTTCAGTTTTCAACATACTGTCTTGTATATCTCATTGTTACAATGGGTCATCCTGTATCCTTATTTCAGCATTTTGTTATTTCCCTTCCCCTCCCTAAATTAGAAAAATGTATATACAAGATGCAGGACACCGGAATCAATTACAGCGACAATAGGAGTTGTACTATGGGGGAAGAACATACAAAGAAACAAAAAAAAAAATCACATAGTACATTATAAGTACATTAAAAAGAACAGCAACAAAGATAAAATCTCTTGTGTCCTTATCTTGGGGTTCATTTCACTTAGCATCAGGTTATATGGTTATATATACATAGCTTTTGAAATCTTCTACTTGTCCTAGACATACACTAGTTATTGCAGATAAGGGAAACCATGGAACCTATGTTTCTTTGAGTCTGGCTTACTTCACTTCCTTTAATTAAAAATTCTGTTTCTTTAAAAAAGATTGCCATACAAAGTGGCTCCAAAACCATCCTTGTGTGTGAGTGCCTCTCAGTGGGTAGCCTGGTGCCCACTGTGATCTTTGAAGGTATCTGACACATTCTTCTTTCCACCCAGAGAGGGCTTCAAGTAAGAAGGAGGGAGGATGAGTGTGAAAAGTAATGGTAAGTTTACCAATTCATGAGGAAGTTTGTCAGTGAATCTGAGATACTTAAAATTGGTACTTCATTTGGAACATTCCATGAAGACTCATCCCTTCTTAAAGTGTGGCTCAGAGTCCTTGTTAGCTCCTCCGGTCACCTGCCTAACACCTCCTGACACGCTGGCCTGGCACCCTTTACATAGTCATGTAAGGTTCATGAGTCTGTGTTCTTTGCCCAGGTCTAAAAGGATCATTTTGATTTTTTTTTAAAAAATTGTAGCTTAATACTATTCTCCAAATCTCAAGATCCCAGTTAGGGTATCTAAATCCCTAGGGCAGCTAGAATCAGGAGAGGCTCTTTTCTGGCCCAGTATCAAGGCATTTTTCTATTTATATTCAAAAGGCTACTGAAAAATAGATGTAGATGTTTATGCTTTTTCTTTCTTTTTAGTTTTTGGAGAAAATGTTTTAAAGCAAAAGGAAATCTGTAATTATTGTTTTTATCTCTGGCACAGTCTGTCATGTGAGGATGAGGATTTGAAGAGGTGTGGTATGTGTGTGTGTGTGTGTGTGTGTGTGTGTGTGTGTGTGTCCTGGGGCTGTCCCTGATCTTTTGTGTTCAAGGTTAGTATTCTACCACGTGAGCCACTGCTCCATTGCTGGCTTTTGGATGATTAGTTGGAGATAAGAGTCTCATGGGCCTTCCTGTTTACAGATGTGAGCCACAGCCCTCAGCTTGAAGAGGTTTTTGTTTATTTGTTTCTATTTTATCTTAGTATTGTATGAAGTTTTGAAGATAGTCATAGAGACATGGAAACCTTCTCCAACTCCTAATCTACTTGATATTTCTGGTCATGTTTACTACATCTCTTCTTATTACCAGAAAAGCCTATACAAAGGATATTTTCTGGAAATTCAAAACTCAGATTCAGGAAAGAAAGAGGCAATTTTCAGCTCATCTCTACATGTTAAATTTTATAAGGAAGGATGGTATTGAAAAAATGCAACTCTTTATGTTTACCTTATTTTAGCTTTGTGTGTCACTTAAAAAGGAACTGTTTCTAAAAATCTTTTACTGTAGATTAATACAATATATACTATAACATATGTAAATATATATATATATACACACATATATATATGTGACGTACCCTGTTTTCAGATGCCCCCTCACAGACCACCAGAGACCACGATCAATGCAAACAGCAAAGACTCGTTTATTACAAGCTGGAGCTTGGTCCTCCGCGCACTCGGCAACCGGTGATGCTAAGAGGCCCTGAGCGTAAAATCAGCGCAGTTTTTATAGTATTGAACAAACAACTTTAAGGAACTTTTACATAAGAAATTACATGATTGGTTAACATTTAAAACAAGCTAAGGTGGGCAACTATGGTTGGTTGACTTTTACAGAAAAATATCCTTGGTTCATAGCTTGACCACCAACGGTTATGAGTCACACCTGGACCAACAGTATGCATGGCATGTTTCGCCCTGGGCTCTGAAGAACCAGTTGGTCGGAACGTTATATGGTTTTAACGGAAACTCTTAGCCCTAGGTCACTCATGGGCAAAGTCACTTGGGAGCTAACACCTGCCTTGAGCAAACGCCATCTATGGCTCCAAGAATTGTGCATGGCTTTCTGTCATAAATTCCTAGCATTGGGGCTAAAGTGGGTCACGAGTTAAGTCGCAGAACTGAGATGGGGTCTTAAGTAAAATGGAATTGCTTAGGTTTTTCAATATGTTTGTATACAGTTCCAGTGTTTTGCTTGCTAAATGGAGATAAGAGTCTCTTGGATTTGTCAGCCTGAGATGGCTGCAAATTATGATCCTTATATCTCAGCCTCCTGAATAAGTAGGCTTATAGGTAAGTGCTACTGTCAGCCTGCTATGCTGGCTTTTTGGTGTACATATATATGTGTGCTTGTACTGGTCCTAGAACTTGAACTTAGGGCCTAGGCACTGTTCGTGAGCTTTTTACGTTCAAGGCTAGCATTCTAGTGCTGTATCACTTGAGCCACAGTTCCAGATCCACTTTTTAGTGGTTGTTTGGAGAGAAGCCTATTGGACTTCCCTACTCAGACTGGCTTCAAGCCACAATCCTCAGATTTCACCCTCTTGAGTAGCAAGGATTATAGGCATGAGCCACGGGTGCCAGTTTATCCTAGCACTGTGTTATATCTTTCTGTTAGTCTTTTCCCACAACTCAATTAACTCCTTATGGCGACAAACTGACAAATGACTGACTGCTCAATTTCCGTGGTGGTAACCACTGAGCAGGATTTAAAGGATAGACCTTATTTTATGTTACCTGTACCAGAATCCTTGATTGGAATCTTTGCCAAAATTCAAAGTCCTAGGCACAGACTCAAGTGTACTGGATCAAAATCTATAGAATTTCAGAACAAGGATTAGCATTTTAAACTCCTCCAGGAATTTGTTGAGGGCAGGGCAATTAGACAGTTATTGTTCTAGAGGATCAACTAGCTAAAAAGAAAAAAAAAGAAAATGAACATACTAGATCTGTTGTCTGTTGGTAAGTCTGCTTCTATAGAGATTTTGATTAAGGCTGTGTTCCTCTTAAAAATTATGTGGTCTAATTAAGTAAAGGGAGCCTGTTTCTCACCTAATTTAATAAGCCATGAGAAAGTCCTCTGTACCTCTTAAAAATAGTGAATATTATTCTCCTGGGTTCGAATTCTGTGTTTCTGTCTTGAAGAAACAGATTTAAATGATTCCAGTATTAATAACAAGATTAAGTGCAATAGTCCTTTTGATGAATTTTAAGAAAAATGAAATGAAATCACTTTGGAAAAGTATCATGGATTACTAAAATAAGGCAAGGGCTAAGATTTTCAACAGTTGTCTTGATCTTGTGGTGGTAGCATTCACAAACATGAGCACATTCAACAGGGCCCTGGGATAAACTGTGCGCCCTGGGGGGTTGAAGACCTGGGAAATGCTGCTTGTGGGTACTTCTTCCATACAAAAGCCGAAATACTTTCTCTTTCCTATTCTTATCTGGGCTCAAGCTCTGCTATTGTGACCTTTTGTAAACAACTGTTGTAGAAGATAGGAGGACTTGGCTAGCCTTCTGACCCCTGCTGTGATGTAGTTTGACTCACTTTCATGGGGTCTTGTGGCTTTTCTTCATTCCATCTTCAATACAGTTCTGTCCTCTCAGGTTTGTTCTTCTCCTGTGGTTAAAGGATTTCAGAGCGGGGAGCTGAGCCCAACTTCTTGCTTACAAGTCAGCACCTTAAAGCTGCAATTGTACTTTTTATTCTTTGCTTCTTTTTTGTTGCAACATTGAAAATACAAAACCCAAGATGTTATCTTCTTCCAAGTTTCTCCATTTCTCCCCCCATTTCCACAAATAAATGTAATTAGAGAAAGTCAAGGGAATAATCAGTTGGAAGGTAGCCATTAAGAACAGTGTTTTGCCAGGTGCTGGTAGCTTATGCTTCTAATACTAGTTACTCAAGAGGCCTGAGATCTAAGGATTGTGGTTCGAGCCAGCCTAGGGAGAAAAGTCCAGGAGACTTTTATCTCCAATAAACTACTCAGAAAAAACTGGAAGTGGTGCTATGGCTCAATTAGTTTAGCACTAGCCTTGAGCACAGACAGGCTCAGAGACAGAATCCAGGCCTTGAGTTCAAGCCCCAGGACTAGCCCCCCCCCCCAAAAGGTGTTTATTCATATTTTAGCCTTTCTCTTTTTTTTCTATTTGTTTTTGATCTTGTGTTGGTCTTTTGAGCTGAGAAAAGACAGGTTATAATTAAGCTAAAAGTGCTTTTTTTTTTTTTCAGATGAGAATTCTCCAGCCAACTTTTGGGATTCTAAAAACAGGGGAGTGACTGGAACACAAAAAGGACAAATTGTGTGGAGAATTGAACCTGGCCCCTACTTCATGGAACGTAAGTAACTGACTCTCAAATGTAAGCCTAAATATTGAATATTGCAGATATTTATAAAAATTTATAGTCTTTTCTGAATGTTATTTTAAATGTTTTTGGTTCTCATTTTCATATTTATGGCACAAAATACTACCTTGGGAAATACAGAGAAAATACTCATTAGGAGAATGTTCATTTATTTTAGGGGAAAATTTTGATATGTATATATGTACACATATACAAAAATATATATCAAATGCATTTGTGTTTACATATGTCTTGTGGATTTGTAATATGTAAATTATTTATGGTTATTTTAATACTTTACAAATTTGTATATACCTTTTATCTATTTTTGTAATTAGTACTTATTTAGATTAATTTTAGAAAGGAGAAAGAGCATTTCAAGGTTTTAATTAATTTACTAATTCTAGCTGAGTGCTGATAGCTCATATTTGTAATCTTAGCAGCTTTGGAGGCAGGAGATAGGAACATAGTGGTTTATGGCCAATGTAGGCAAAAAGTTCTAGAGAGCCCATCTCAGCCAGTGTCTGGGTATGGTAGAATGTACTTGTTATCGAAGCTATGTGGGAAGCTAAGATTGGGAGGATCTTGGTTCTGAGTAAGGCCAGATGAGGAAAACTTCAAAACCCTAGCTCAGCAAGATATGGTAGTATGTGCCTGTCACCCTAGCTATGTGGGAAGCATAAAATAATTTGCAGCGGGGGGGGGGGGGAGGAGGAGGGTTGGGATGGGGAGGGGGGGGGAGATGGGGGGGGAGGTTTCACAATGCAGGCTGCTGGTTCAGGCAAAAAATGAGATCCTGTCTCAGAAAGAACCATAACCAAAAGAACTGCAGATAGAATACTTATTCAAAAAACATTAAGCTCTAAGTTCAAACCTCAGTATTCTTCCCCCCTAAAAAAAGAAAGAATATAATTTGCCTTTAGAAAATATTATTAGTATTATTTTTCTTAGCTCAGGTTGTCCTGGAACTCACTATGTAGCCTTGACTCATGATTCTACTACTTCAGCCTCCTGAGTGATGGAATTGTATCTGTAAGCCACTATACCTGCTTCATTATTATTTTTGCCAGCAAGGTAGTATTGTTTGCATCTGGGTCCTGGCCTTTACAAAGTGTTAATGAGATAAGCTGGGGCATACTACCATCCATCAACTTACTGAGAACCAGAAATAGGATATAGATAATTCAATCATTACTGAGTTAATTTGATGATATACTTATTTGTAAATTCAAGTGCCTGTAGAGTCCATAACTCATAGAGATAATCTCTTTTTGGGTGGCAAAGTAGGTGAAAGGGTGTTTGTATTTGCCACTCGTATTATTGAGTTATTAAACTCTAAGATTTCTACGTGGAAAGATTTAATATATTACAGAGCTTCTGTGAATACTGGTAATTAAAAGCTGGTACTGAATGAGTAATTAAGCGGAAATCAGCTGGAAGCACATCTTTATTGAGGCATCAAAAGCTCACATAATATAAAAGGTTATTTTAAAGAAGATGAATGTGCATTACTTTGAATGGCTTAAAGGTATCAGATAAGGCTTTTCACCATTTTTACTGGTAGGTCTGCATTCCAGAGGTTTTTGTAATCCTTCATCTGCTTCTTGTGGTATGTCTCCTTTGCCTGATTGGTGTGCTAGCTAGATCCTCTCTTTATGTCTTAAATAAAATTAGTTTTTAAGGGAAAATGTTTATGATATAACTGGAGGCAGAGGTGGGTAGTGTGAGGAAGGGACAGCTGATGGATACAGCATAACATGTAGGAAGTTTTACCAGCATAGAGACAAAGATTGTTTCTGGAGATGGCCTGTTATTGTAAAGGTGATGTGCAGAGGGCTTAGAGCTGCGTAACTCAGGTAAAGAGTACATTTCTTTTGAACAGTATCACCTCTTCTCTAATTTTCTCCTAGTTTTTCCACCTGACCTTCCTTCCTCACAAGGTGTAAAGTTCATTTTCAACATGGTGTCTAGTGAATATCACTGCTGCATTTTGTTCATCCTTCGTCCCACAATTTCTATGCTCCCCCTTATGTTCCCCAGATAAAGTTACATACGATATAAAAGTACAGAAATCAAAAACAGCAACAAAGGAGAAAAAAAAAAGCAAGAAGAAAAGTAACAGTAAACTTCTTGTTTCCATTTCTTTGAGTTCATTTCAATAGATATCATTTTATGTGATCATATGCCCATAGCTATTGAAACTTTGTGATCCTCTCCTACAAATATCCTCCTTTGGTCTCACTGTATGAATGTCCAGAATATCATATCCATGTTTATTTTTTTTGTCTTTTACCATCCAGTGTGTTTATTTGTAGATCTATAGGCACTGACTAGTTACAACAAATGAGGGAAACCATGCAACCTATGTTTCATTGAGTCTGACTTACTTCGCTTAATGTAATTTTTTTTTTTCTGAGTCTTTCCATTTCCTTAGGAATGCTATTATTCCATCTTTTGGATGGAATTGTCTGCCTCTAGTTGTCTATATTGGCAATACTAAGTAGTAAGGAAAATGAATGTGAAAAGTATATGAGGGAAAAAGATTGGAAATGAGGTGCTTTTTTTCCCCTTCTTCTTCTTAGCAGGACTAGCAGGGTCTAAGAGGGTAGTTGGCTGAGAAGTATTGCTTCCTTATCCTCAGGGAAAAAGGTTAGACCATCTTACTCTCTGTTCCCAAATGCTGAAGAGAGCTAGTCAGGTCTGCCTGTTGCTGGAATGTGCAATTTATATTACAAGGCTCATGGGAACACCTAGGAAGAGGCCAGTAGCACATACTGCTATTATCTGGAACGTTTTTCAAGGGCAAAACATTAATAGAGTATACCATTTGCTACCATTGATTTTCTCTTTCCACAAAAGTGTTGAGATTCATAATGTCCTGGCTGATTAGGCTGTAATAAATAGCAAATATAGGAAATATAACTTTACAGTTGAGTAAATATAGTCAATAGCTAGTACAGTAAACATGTTTTGGGTAGCATTTCCTTTATATCTTCTTCTGTTATTTAATGGAAATAAGCATGGCATTAAAGCTAAGAATTAGGAATCAAATTCCTTTTCTTTATTCCCTAATTTAGCACTTTCCTGCCTTAATCTTTTACAAATAAAATTCAGAACATTGCAGAACAGGACTGTGAAACTGGGAGTATCTAGTCATGTAATACAAATTGACTGACTGAGGAGAGAAGCCTAAATTGAAGTCTAAGACACTGAATAGAATATCAGAAAGTTTCTACTTTTAATTAAGTCTACAGGGATCAGAATGACAGCTTTCCTAACATACATCCACATCTTTACAGAATAAAAAACTATATATAAACATGGTGGGTCAGAAATGAAATCTCTCTCTCTTTCTCTCTCCAACTGGGGTTTGGACTCAGAGCCTCATGCTTGGTAGGTACGCTACCATTTGAGTCATATGTCTAGCCCTTTTTGCTTTAGTTTATTAAAAAAAAACCCTGAACATTTTAAACCAGTGTCTGGCTGAGCATGTGAACATTGCTTCACAACATAATAAAATCTTCCTTGCCTCTTTGGAGCCGATGGTATGAAGTCTAAAAGAAAAGAAGAAGGATGTTTGGATAGCTTATAAAATTCTGAATATTGTTACTGTCAGACCTTGCAAACTTAAATGATAATTTCTTTTGTTTTGGGAAAGAAAATTTTTCTTTGCCTCATACAAAGGGAAATTCTCCAAAAATTTATATATCCAACTCCCTGGACAGCCTGAACTGAGAGCTGCTTAGGTTATTTCTGAAAGTAAGATGGCTCTGGTCTGCTTGGGTATCCCTCAGAGGAGGCAAGTGGCTTAGACTTAGATTATTAGAGGACGTAGGCAGATGGATTTAAAGGGAAAAGACAGGATTAATTTGGGGTGGATACCCTTTGGCATCAGAGAGGAAAATCAGTTTTTGTCCTAAGACTGTCAGCTGTTCTAGTAAGTGACACGGGTGTCACTGCATCTGATCTGCAGCCTCTAGTCGCTAAGGGCTTTCCAGTGTTGTCTGAGTATATCAAGAAGTTCTCTTAATTCTACATAATGTTTCATAAACGATGGTTATCCAGTCATTCATAACTACCTTTCGTTTTTCCTTCTTCCTGTCCATTATCTCCTCATTCATGAGGAAATACTTACTATTGATTGCCAACTTTGCTCAATGTACTATTTTCAAAAGGCACCAAGTTCTTGGATCAACGAGAAAAGCTTAGAAGTAGTCAACTTCATTGCACACTGCTGTGTGCTAAATTGCTTTGCAACTATTAAGGAGAACAGTAAAACACATATTTGTAGGAATTACATAGCATATACACATCTCTACCTCTTTTAGCCCTACAAAGTAGATGGAGGATTTAGAAGCAACATTCAAGATGCAAGAAGCAGGTGTAAGAGTCTTATCTCTAAGTGGTGGCACTCAGTTCCATGCCTTGCCAGCACAAACACATTTATGAAGGCTTTCCATTGAGAGTGGGGAATACCTCAGCTTCTAATTTTTATTGTCAGAATCTCCACTCTAAACTTTCCATTCCTGAGTCCCTTCCCACCGACCTCAGAAGCGTCATCTTTGGATGGGGATTTGGTATTTTTCACTTTCTATTCCCATACGTATTATAGATTGTTTGTTCTCTACTCCTATGTTAGGTTTTTACCACCTCCACACTGATACGGGATATCTTGTGTTCTGATGGTTTTGTACTGAGTTGAGGAGGGTCTGGCCTTTCAGACTTCTCATTAAACAAGAAGACATCTATTCAAAAGTGTGACAAGTGAAATATATTTTTATTATTCTCAATATGTGGCTTCTAAATAAAAGGGCTATACATAGGAGCCATAGAGGGCCATGAAAAACTAATGTGTTAGGATAAATTCCAATTAGCTTGATTTTTATTTTACATTGTTCTATTTAGATTAAATGGAATACTTCAAAGAAGAGGAATGTTCACATTCCATTCATGACTTGAATTTGTTGGACTTTTAGAAGCCTGGGGAAATTCTA